TAGATGAGGGGAGTGTAGAAAATATAGGAAAATAAATTAGTTCTTTCTGTTTGCTAGTGGAGAGAATCTCATAATGGTTATACCATTTCTGCAAATCCTTCTCCCCATGAATTTGTTAGGAACATTTGTTAGGAAGTTATTATTTTTGTTGCTTTATTTTCAATAAATTGTAGCACCACCAAGAATGAAAAAATAAAGGCAAGTAGAAGAGGATTTTCTATTCTTCAAACCTTCAGTTTATTTGTCAATATTGAACAAAGACTTGAATTTTACATTATAAACACTTTCTACAGAAATGTTTACTAAAAACTGAGCAGCTTTCACTTCAAAAGCACTTGTACTAAAATTATTCTCAAAAGCACCAACTTGCCAAATGGGTATCCAAGCAAGAAGAATCAAGAATGACAAATGGGTATCCAAGCAAGAAGAATCAAGAATGATATAAAAAGCTTTTGAAATTATGAATCATAGATATCCCATAAGTACAAACACGCTAAAAATATGATACGCCATTCATTTAAGGCAAAGCATTTTCTTACTTGTGTAGTCTTTCCACAGCCAGTTTCACCAGAAATAAGAACAACCTGCATTGAACTGGAACAAGAATAAGTACTTGAAGGCACATTAGAGATACAAACACCCAAAGCATAATTCTTAAAGTTGGCGGTATTAGCTTCTTGAAAGAAAAAGCCATCTCAACCATATTCATATAAAAGCACACTAGTAATCTACAAAAGGATGAAATAACCTGGTTAGACTCTATCGTGGATGTAATGGTGTCCTTGAAGGATGCAATTGGAAGCTTTAACCTCTCTTCATTTATCTGTTAGGACAATATCACAGGAAACTTCGGTTAGACTAACTCACACTGTCGATAAGACATTTCCTACATATGAAAAATGATCAAATGTTGTTACAGATCATAGTCAGGCTGAAACCTACAGAAAATTGACCTAATCTGATCTGTTTCTCTTTTATTTCAAATTAAATATCAGTTTTTCAGTTGTATATTTAGATATATTCACATTCCCAGCTGTTGTCAGTTGCCGCTATTTTATAGAGAGTTCCTAGTCTAACGTGGGCTGTTAACTCTGTCCTACTGTTCTGTAATTTATATGGTTTGCACAAGAGGAATATATATCATGGAAAGAAAAATCCAAAATGTCCCTGAGCTCTTGTTACTCTTGGAGATATGTGGGTTATAGCCAACAAGCACAAGCTTTTTTCAGTAAATATAGGGCAGAATAGGAAGAATAAGCTAGAAACATATGAATGTTCCCCAATCTGATATTATTCTTTAAGGTCCTACAACCAGATCTAGGGGACAAGAAAATAGCGGATTTCTGCCTACTAAAATAATAGGGAAAACACAATAATAAAGATAAAGCACCAAACAAATGAAAGTTATGAATTTCTAATCAGTCAGGTTCACAAATGATACCTGTCGTAGGTTTGCAGCCTTCTCAATTCTGGAAGCAAGTGATTCCACCTTTTTGGCAATTTCTTCCTCGTTCATCAAAGGTTTTCGAAAGATATCATCTCTCCTTCTTCGAATTTTATCTGTCTTTTCACCATGTCTTCCAACTTGTTTCTCACCAAGCTCACCATCTTCAGGTGGGTAACGTGTAAAAAAGTCCTGCAAAACATTTTCTGATTCCTCTGAAAATGTGAAACGTGTGAGATTTTCCTTCCCCTTTAGGGTTTCAACATTCCTTCTAGTCTTGTAGACAGAAACACACCGCTGATTCCCATGCCTATAAAAAGTCCAAGCAATTTGATACTGTATAAGAAAGTGAAATTAATAAAACCAAAATGAAGAAGAGAAATCTGCAAACCTCTCAGGTTGAAGATTATAGTAACAATCAAGGATTCATGAATTTAAAGTTAGAGACTGAGAGAATAGATATCACTATCAGAACTCACCCAGAACTTTTGGATTTCATGCCCATTTTCCGGCATACTTCATGAACCACAGCACGTTCACGATTTGACAAGTTGGCTTCAAATTTGTACACTGTATGTAACATCATATACTTATAAAAATGAACTTAACATATTTATTTTAAAGAATATACAAAATCAACCAACAATATTTTATTTAGATAATCAGATGAAATAGGATAAAGCCAAGAAACCTTAAATTCCCACTAGCTAGGGCTGTAAATGAGTCTGGCACGTGTATACATATTGCACAAGGAGATTGCAAGTGTGAGTAATACTAGAACTCATTGTTTGGACACTATGGTTGCTATTAAAGAGGATGTCATTAAAGAATCCTTCTCATTTTTTCAATGGAAAAGGATCCTTTTCACTAATAGTTTTGCTAAACATGAAACGGATTCTAGCAGATAACTTGCGCATATGAGTCTGTGGCCCCTAGATCTAGACCCCTCTTTTTGGAGGAACAATATGTCCTCTCTAGGATGTGTAATCCATATTGGTGTATAAGAGGAGATTTTAACACTTGTAGATTTCCCCATGAGAAGTTAGGAGGTGGTGGAGAAACAATGAAAATGCGAGGATTCAATAATTCTAATGAGGACTGTGAGTTACCCAATCACCCTCTAACTAACGCCTAGTTCACTTGGTCAATAGAAGGGAGAGGATGGCGCTCATCGCGAATGAACCGCTCCCTAGTTTAATCATGTTGGGAGGACATATTCAATGTTTGGTACATGACACTCTGGTACAACCTGTATCAGATTATTTTCCTATCATCCTTGACTTGTAACGTGTGTAATGGAGGTCTTACCCCATTCAGGTTTGAGAAGATATATGGACACAACATCCTAATTTTAATGATAGAATGAAGGATTAGCGGTACAAAGGTCCAACAAGAAGCTTTATTTCAAAAAAGAAAAAGGTCCAGTAAGGGGATGGGAGGGTTATACATTTACACAAATATTTTATTCCTAAACATAAGTTGAGAAAATTGAAAAAACAAGTTGTCGGTGATATAAGGAAGAAGAAGGCAGATATTCTAATGGAGATGAAGGGATAAGATAAACTGGCTTTGCAAAATAATATATTAAACCAAATGAGTTGCACATCCAAACTCATAACTAAGCCTAAGGAGGTTCTACTCAAAATGGAGCAAATTGGAGCAAAAAGCTAAGTTAAAGTGGATAAAGGAAATCGATGCTAGTACTAGGTTATACCGCAGGGGAGATTAAGGAACTAGATCTAGAGGGGTGTGTAGAATGGGATACAGACTTAAGTGGGTGAAAAATCACTTGATTTTACCGCAAGAGTACACCAAGCAAGAAGTATCTAGGTCTTTCATAGGACTTGATTGATAGCTCATTAGTATTGCCAAACCAAACCAAAGAGAGACAATTTGATGAGGAGGTAAAGAAATCTAATTTAGGCAATGTGTACGGAGATAGACTTTGGCCCAAATGGATCTAATGGAGCTTGCTTCCAATCTTATTGGGACATTATGAAGGACAACATGATGAAGGAATTTTAAGAGTTCTATTTGAATGGGAATATATGTCAAAAGTATGAACTATACACTAAAAAGACAAATCAAAAAGGACATAAGACAACCGTCCTATCAGTTTGGTGACTGGTGTTTGCAAAATAATAACAAACAAGTGATCACTACGTCTAACTGATGTTTTGGATGACACTATCTCACCAAATCAAAGTCTCTTTATGGGAGAAAAACAAAACTTGAGTACATTCTTGTAGCAAATGGATCAACAGAATATATGCAAAGAGTGAAAAAAGAAGGATCAGTCCTAAAATTAGATTTTTGAAATGGTTTGAGACAGGTAAATTGGAGATTCCTAGACTTAATGATAGATTGCAAAGGTTTTGGATCTAGATGGAGAAGTTGGACAAAACGTTGCTTCTCCTCTGTCTCTTTTACAATGATAGTGAATGTCAAGGCCCAAGAGTGGTTTCAAAGTACTCGAGGTATAAGATCCTTCATTCTTTTATGAAATAAAAGTGAAATATTATTATGCACAAAAATACTAAGGGAGTACCACCCATATACAAAACAGTTGTATATATCAAGTGGTCAATGACTAACCCAACATCATCCCAATCTTTAATGTCATGACCTAAAAAGATAGAACTAGAAGTGTGAATCCATTTATTCCTAATGTTTACAACTCAATACCCTCAAAAGCTCTCGTATTTTTTTTCTTCTACACAACCTAAAAAATAGTAAGTAGAATAAGGAATAAATGTTTTCATCTCTCCATTTTTCTTTACCTTTAGTGGATGGTTGGAGTAGAATGCTGACAAGGGAACCGAAAAAAGAGGCAATTGAAGGTTTTGTGGTTGGTAATGATAGAGTTGAGGTATCTCTTTTTTTGGAATAAAAAGTATAGTATAATTCATTAACTCACAAGCACCAAGGAGGTTCACCAATGTAGAAAAATAAGTACAAAGCAGTTAATATGTTAATAAAATCCGAAAATTCCTCAAAAGAATGAAAATGATGCCCCATAGTCAAAAAAACCCAAGATCTAGAGTTATTTGTCTCTAACTCTAACAAAATCCTCTTCCACCCTTCAAAATCTATCTTATTCCTATCTCACACCATCCGTAAAATAGTAAGAGAAATAAGTCACATGTTTCCTCACATTCACAATATTGTTCTATCACATCACAATAGAATAATTGCTAAAGCACTCATGTCGGTACGTGTTTTTGAGTATATCATAGGGATCCACATTAACATGGCCAAATGTGGTTTGATAGGAACAAATGTGACAGATAGTACAGTTAACATGCTAGTTGAGGCAATAAGATACACGAATTTATCATGGCCCATTACATATTCAGACATTTATTAGGCGGTAACCCTAGATGTAAAACATTATGCAACTAGGTGGTAATTGAAGTGCCTAAGCAATTAGAAAAGTCAAACTTGGGGTCTTTTCCCAATGGGGATAGAGTAACATTCATTCCTTCATGCATGCTTGTCTACTATCTCCGTTTACTACATGTCTTTGTTTAAGGTTCCAACAGGAGTAATTGAGCATTTAGATGGAGTGATGAGGAATTTTTTATGGCAGGAAATGGAGAGGCAAAGAGAGATCGTTTAGTCAAATCAGAGGTGTTTTCTAGGTCTAGAACTTTCGGAGGGTTAGGCATTAGGAACCTAAAACCAAGAAACTTGTTAGCATTAATTAAGTGGTTATGGCAATTCTCACCGAAACCAAACTCCTTGTGACATGCAGTGACCAAAAGCGTACATGTGACTCTAAAGAATGATTGGGATTCAATGGCCAAGAGATCCATCCAACACAAAAAGGTCCATGGAAGGTCATTTCCAGTTTGCTAAACCTCTATAAGACTCTCATCATATATAACATTGGGATGGATCCAATATCCTATTTGGACGGATCATTGGAGGGGCAATCTCCCCTTAGGTACTCAATCTCCACAGTTATTTCACATCTCCTTAGATCACAAAGCCCCAACAAACTAGTTCTTCTGCCTTACCAACGGTATTATAGATCCAAATTTCCACTTCTTCTGCAATTTCAATGTAGAAAACCAAAGTACT